TTATATATAATGTATGTATGTATGTATATATATATATATATATATATATATATATATGTGTGTAAGAAGTTCTAATGAAGAATACATATAAAAAATATATTTAGAAATTACAGATGCAAGATAAGACGGAATCAGTCTCTTTAAAAATGATAGTATAGAGAAGGGTTGTATATATTCGAATTAATTAATAGTCTTATTCATAAAAAATACATATACTTGCGAATTTGATCTCGATTTAAGTTTTACAGAATCCGTCGTATCGAGTATGTGGCGCCATCTATCAACGATTTGCCTAAACCTAACGCAATGCAGCGTTAGCCGATAATAAACAATATTGCATTACATTAATCGTATTAATTAATGCATCAATAAATTAAACTATCTGATTACGTCTGATCGCATCAGCTCCATTGTGCTGGTAGAGGCTACGAAATTTTATTCGAGATATAATCTGAAATTTCTCGTTTATTCTTCATCCTTTGTCCAGAGAAGAGACATCTCATCGTATGTATATACAACAAAACTTATTGTCTACAACCTCAATTTTTTTTCTTCATTTCATGAATGAAAATGTAAAAATATCGACGCGATATTTTACAAATGAATCAGCGAAGCCTTCAAGATTCGCGAATTCTGCACGCGCGCGTTTTCGTCAATGTTGAAAATCGCACATAACGTTTTTTCTCGACGACGAAGAAGCGACGAGAGGGACAGAGAAGGACAGGGCGAGTCAGCTCTTCCCTCCTCCGCCCCGCACCGAGTCGCCAGGCAAGTCGCAACACAGTGCGGCATCGCGACGACGACGGCGCCGCGCCGCGTCGCCCCGCGCCGCGTCGCGGCGCCACCGTCGCCGTGTATACATGCAGTTGTCTGTAGGCGAAACGTCTCGCCGCACGCCTCCCGCGGGTCGCCGTACTTCTCATTTGATTTCCCGCGAAGTTTTCGCGCGGCGAATCACGCCGCGCTGCTTCACACGACCCGCTGACCCGTGCCGATCCCCCGAGTTTCGGTAAGCTCGCCGGTTTCACTTTACTTTCCGCGCGAACCCGCCGTGCAGCGTTTGACATGGCGTGTGTTTGACATACGCGCGCGCGCGCGCGCGCCTTCTGATTTTCGCGACGTTTCCAGCGTGCGCGCGCGCGCGCGCGCGCGCAAGCTCGCCGATGTCCGTTTTCGGACACGCGTACGACGACGTCTTCGTCGTCGTCGTCGTCGTCGTCGTCGTCGTCATGACGGCCGATCTGGACGGACGCCGACAGCGGAAAAAAATCACGGCGATTCGCCGACGCGGCACGTTGGTGCGACCGGGCGATCCACAAGTGGTTGGTTGCGTCGCGGTGCGCGCGCGTGCGCGCGAGCGTCCGCGGGTGTGGGTGTAAAGGAATGCGTGCGTGTGTGTGTGTGTGTTTT